GGCACTGGGGCCACGGAGGAAAGAGAATGGTGACTTCAGTTTGAAAGTGTTTAGTACAAGAAGCTGTAGGAGGTGTAGTGGGTGTCTTGCATTAGCAAGTCCAAAAGGCAATTAATTAGGTTGTATGGATTTGGGACTCAGAAAACAGGCATGGACTTGAGAGACTTGGTAGCCAGTGTCATATATATATGATAGTAAACCTTGGGCACAGATTTAGTTAATGGAGGAGATTTTATTTAAAAGAAAAGAGGTCCAGTAGGGAGCCCTAGAGAGTACAACATAGAAGAGGCAGCAGAATAAGATGAACTCACAAAGTAGCCTAAGAAGAAATAACCAATAGATCAAGAGAGAGACGAGAGACCAACTTGCTGTAGAACTCTCCATCAGTAAAGCAAACAGAGATAACTCAGTAAAAAGTGGCAAGCACTGACATCTATCTCATTATAAAAATTATTGATTTTAAAGGATCTTATTTTTATTAAAAATTATAATTTTTAAAGTTTAAGTTTAAATTTTTAAGTGACCTGTGTGTGCACTGAGTGCTGTTTGGATACTAAGCCTTGATGAATCTTGAGACTCGACATCAAGAAGTCAGCAGCCGACAGTGTCATGGGGACATACAACATGGTTTCATTAAGTAGCGTGGCCTCAAAAATGTGTAATGGTGAACCCACGATCCGTAAGCAGCAGTAGGGTTGCAGAACACACTGGCACTCTCCTCTCAGTCCCTTGGAATCTGGGGACGTGGCTAAATTAAGCAGCTTTCTCATAGCGGCTATAAAGGAAGCACTGTCTTCAGAGACAAGGCCCATTTGAGTTAAAGCGAGTTGATGGAACACATGTCCTACCAAGCCATTGAAGGAGTTGGCCCCAGAGAGGCTAAAGAAAGGGTCACATTGTTTGGTTTTCGAGATACTTGACTTGGGGTTGGGAAAGGAAGGAAAAAGCCCCAGTGCTTTTTATAGGACGGGTAAGCAGAGAGACCAGATTGTGGGGTGGGGCGGCGACGAAGGATGATGCAAGTACTCTATCAGCTTGTTTCCCAAATGCACCTTTTTGATGCTGCAACCAACGTGAGCCTCCAAGTACTGTGATTATTAGGGCCTGCGTTGGAAGCGGGGAGGGAGTAAAGCAAGACCTCGGGCACCACAGAGCTTCCATTACTGTGTGCGGTTTATTTGGCAGCTGGGAAATTACAATGGGTGGGAGAATCCCATACAGGAGTATGATCCTTGCAGCGGTGAAAGGATAGTCAGTAGAGCCTGTGTCCACGCGGAGGTCTCACGGTGGACCAGAGGGCAAAGGCTGGGGTAGAGAAGAAAAGCCAAATGGAAATCTGCACGAAGAAGCATGAAGAAACTCTGCAAGGCTTCGGGAGGGTGGAGGGAGAGGGACTGTACGAGCAGCATAGCCTTACTGTTTCTGTGGATGGGGTCGCTTTCTCAGAGTTGGGAGCTCTGGCTGTTGTGTTGCCTTTTATTTGTTAATTTTTCACACCTTATTTCAAACAGCATCTGACTCCTCCTAGGACCATCCTGAGGCAGGCATCATGCGGCAGCTGCACATTTTCCTTTGGAATGTTCTTGTTCAGTGATAGGGTCAAGAGACCAATAGCCAGAATGTGTTCAAGGATAAACGGTTTCCCTTGTAGTGGTGGAAAAAGCTCAAAGGATAAAAACGCGAAGGGTAAAAAACCAGGCGGGGGCAGAACCGAAACATTGGTGGATCTCCCTCTCCTGTGAAATTCGAGGATTTGGGCAGATTTGTGATTACCTTCACAAAGTTATGATCACTTGAAAGAATCCCTACAACTGGGGCGTCTGGGTGTCTCAGTCCATTAAGCATCCAGCTCTTCATTTCGGCTCAGGTCACGATCTCAGAGTGGTGAGATGGAACCCCACGACAGGCTGTGTGCTGGGCTTGGAGCCTGCTTAAGATTCTCTTGCCCTCTCCCTCTGCCCGTCCCCACCAAATTTAAAAATCTATTTAAGAAAAAAAATAATTCATACAACTGAAAAATTGTCCTTGCAGTAGTAGTTACTTGTATGGTTCTGAGCCAGTGCAGTGACCTCCTTGGGTGAAGAAAAACTCTATGTTTTAGACGATGGAGGAGGGGGTGGAACAAGAAAAGAAGAGAGAGCCATCATCACATCATTCATGTTAGAGGTGCAGTAATCAAAAGACAACTTTTGATTACTTTAGACACATTTAATTCAAACACCTAGAACTTTGCTCCTCTAGGTGTGGACTTTGGAGATCTGGGGAAGCAACAAGAATACACAGCCGAGGGACGCCTGGGTGGCTCAGTTGGTTAAGCTGCTGCCTTCGGCTCAGGTCATGATTCCAGCGTCCTGGGATCGAGTCCCACATCGGGCTCCTTGCTCGGCGGGGAGCCTGCTTCACCCTCTCCCTCTGCTGCCACTCTGCCTGCCTGTGCTCGCTCGCTCTCTCTCTCTCTCTCTCTTTCTCTCTGGCAAATAAATAAATAAAATCTTAAAAAAAAAAAAAGAAAGAAAACACAGCCAACTGTAAAAGGCTGGACCTTGAGCTCGAGCGCCATAAGTTATTTTCTGATTTCCTTCAACTTTAGAGGAACTTCAGACTTCATGTTCCAAGCCATACTCCTTTTTTTGCTAGCTATTCTGGGCTAGTCACTGGCTTCTAGAAAAATGAATTTAGTAATGAATTCTGTTAACCATTTCATTTTTCCAAAAAGCCCATGCAGCATCCTGAGTGAAGAACTAAAACAACGGATGACTCCTGGGGTAAATTCCTGTTCCAAAACCAGTCCTACGTGTGAACAGAATGTTAGAATTAAATTGTGGTGTCTGCTCTGCTCCCATCACCACTGACAAAGAAACTGTTTTGAGGAATGGGTGGGTGTGAGGAAGGACAGTGATATTGTATTATGTTAATAACCATCATGCTGTGCAAGAAAGTAGCCTAGAAATTGCTTTTAGCTTTCCTGGCTAAAATCTTGTTAGATTAGCAGCTATCCAGGAGAATATCTGATAAAGTCTACTAGTAAAAATCCTTGCCAAGTCTTCATAATGAAGGAGCCCCTGTTACATAGTGTCTGCTAGTTTAGGGATTCCATTTCCAGTCATGGTTGCCCCAAGGTTGATCCTGAGTACCCAGGACCATCTCTGCAAATACTCCCATTGGCTCACCGAGGCTTCAGATGAGCGACTCTCCAGGGGCTTATGTCCTAAAAATGTCTGCCTTTCTCTGTCACGATTCTTAATGGCACAAGATTTCATTTTACTTTTGCTTTTAAACACAAGGAGACCTGCCATTTGGATTTTTAATTTAAAATTTCTTTTTATTTTAGGGAAGTTGATCTAAAATGAAAGTAGTCTTCTCTAAAACAAGTTTTCCCAGGAAATTATATCCATCTCCCCAAACACGTTCCCAACTCCCTAAGAAGGTATATTCTCCTTTCTCATCTCTTTGCCTCTGTATGTAAATGCTATTAACAGTTTCACAGGGATTCTTTAACTGATGTTTAAAGTTAAAAGCAGAGCCATCTGAGATCATAAAAGGACTGGAGAAAATGGTGTTTGCTGTGACTGACTTGGATTCCTCCTCCTTCTCTTGTCTTCAGTCTTGCGTACATGCGGAGGGCATGGGACAAAGCCATGACTATGTAGGGGGCACATCAGGTTAAGGACTCTTGGTTATCCAGACCATTCTGCCGTCTGTCCACACACCATAGTATGACCCTGAGGATGAAGGGTGAAGTTGACTCTGTGAAGTGAGGAGAAAGGAGTACTAATTCATTAAGTTATTAGGAAGAGCTTTCATTGATTGGGTTATGTGATAAAGCTGACTGCTTGGGTGCCTGGATGGCTTAGTCAGTTAAGCGACTGTCTTCAGCTCAGGTCACGATCCCAGGGTCCTGGGATCGAGCCCCACATCAGGCTCTCCACTCAGCAGCGAGTCTGCTTCTCCTTCTCTGTGATCTCCCTCACTTTCATTCTCTCTCAAATAAATAAAGTCTTTAAAAAAAAAAAAAAAAGCTGAATCCTCCCAGTAACTCTCAGAGGTAGGTAGTAGTATGCCCATTTGACAGATGAGGAAACGTGGCCTTATGTTAAGAATCTTGCCCAAGTTCACACAAACAGTGGGAGCCTGGAGCAAAGCCAAGTTTGTCTGATTTGAAAGCCGTCCTCTTGAACTGTTGTCCTTTGCTACATGCAATTTATTTGGTGGGGAGGGGTGTTTGTATGTGCTTACGTGTGCATATGTATGCACTATAGAGATGGAGGAAAGCAGGGGTGCCTGGGTGGCTCAGTCAGTTAAGCATCCGACTTTTGGTTTCAGCACGGGACATGATCTCATGGGCTGTGGGATTGAGTCCCATGTCCGGCTCCCCACTCGGGGAGTCTGCTTGAAGAGTCTCCTGTTGACCCTCCCCCTGCCTGTGCTCTCACTCTCTCACTTGCTTTCTCTCTCTCATAAATAAATCTTAAAAAAAAAAAAAAAAAGGAGGAAAGCATTTTGCTATGATCTCCACTCTCGACTGTAGTAGGACCCTTATGTGTTATATTCCAAAAGAGGAATAAACAGCTAAAAGATGGGAGAAGATTGGGGAGCTGACCCGAGTCAGGCATAGATCACCATCTTGGTGCATGAATATGTGGCACGTCGTTTCACCTCTTTTAATTCTTGCTTTGTCCCTGTACATTAAAGGTTCAATTAGCCACATTAATGGAGAGAACTCAGGCGTGAATAACTGAAGAACTGAGAGTCTGAGGAGCAATTCAGTAGCAGTTTGCCTTGTATATGTGAATTGTTTGTGCTGGATTTATTCCCCTAATCTGTTCGCTTAGTCATCCCAGAATAGTAATAAATGGGCCTGTCCCAAGAGCCAAGATCTAAGTGGATTATCCACAGGGGAATACAGACAGTTAATTCATAAGGAAAGGCTTTTGATTTCATTTAAAAGCATAGCTTCAGACTGCTGACACTTTTTCTTTTTTTCTCCTGAATTCATTTAGAACTTATGCTGTCAGGAGGATAAGAGATGCCTTCAGAGAAAATAAGAATGTAAAAGATCCTGTAGAAATTCAAGCCCTAGTGAATAAAGCCAAAAGAGACCTTGGAATAATTCGTCGACAGGTAAGATGGTTCGATGATGTACTGTCTTTCATTAAAAGCTGTAAACTTTGACATATCCCCCTTAATTGGCCATCACTGCTTTTGGTATTTATGATTTATACCATGGGGTCATGAAACTGTTCCTCTTACTCATATAGACACAGAAAGATGACCTATCATATTACTGAACTCAAGGAGAACATAAAGGAAAATATCAGCTTTCCAGAATCTCGGGAATGCAGCCTTCCTGGGGACTGCATTCTCATCGTTCACTAAAGGCTGACCTTTAAATATGACACTTTTTTAAAAATGTCCTTTTGTGAGATATATTTACACATTTATCCATTGACATATGTCAGAGAACATAAATATGTTCTACTTTTCCTAGTATTTTTAAAATCATAATTCAAGATGCTGTTGCCCTTTCCTTGGAGACACCATTGTTGGTGAGGAACCTGAATTTTGTTGCACTTGGAAGGTGTTTCTGCAGGTGCAAATGGGGTAGAGCACAGCTGCTTAGCTACTGACCCCGTAACAGACCCTGGAAGGTGTTTTTGTCTCGTCTTGTAGAAGTGCCAGGGATCACCTTGATTTCTGCTTGCTTTGCTCTTCCTCCAGAAGTGGACCAGAACATCAGCAGCATGGTCTCCTGGGTAGTGTGATATGTCCCTCTTTCTGCAAAATTAATTAGAGAGTCAGAGGCCGAGTAGTCTGCTCTTAGTTGGTTTCTCGTCCTCAAAGAAAAGATCATCCTTTTCACTATTTTTCTTTGATTTAGCAACAGTCATACCATAAGCTCTATTTCTGTTTCTTATCTCTCTTACTTGCAGTAAAGTTGTTTATAAAGTATAGAAGGGAAATCCCTTACCATTTCCCTCAGTTCTGCCTCGAGTTTTGGAAAGGGCTTGTTTAGGATCATCAGGAGATACCAGCTTGGCTGACAGCAAATCGTATCATACTATGTGACATATATATGTGTAGATATACATACATACATCCCTAATCCTTCCTCATGCTTAACTCCAAAAAAGAAGCAATATTAACTACCGTAGTTTTCTCTTTATGTCAAATTCAAAAGTCTTGCAAGGTAATGAAACAATCCCTTCTAAAATGACTTTTCAGATTCTGATAACCGTCCTTGAGTTCTCCAGTTTTCTAGCCACAGAATAACTTTGCCACATTCAGACAAACCTAGGAAATGATCTTCAGTGAAGGCCATGGAGAGATAATAGGATAGTCAGAAAAAGAAACTGATCTGCGTATTTGCATATACTTTGATATTGGCAGGTAAATGAGTTTTCATTTTGAAAACTGCAGGATGGTGGCATTTTGCAGGCATCACTGGTTGAATTTTATGGGATGCTTTAGCATTGGAAGTTGGAAAAAACAAGCAGCCTGAGTCCTCATTTCACATAAACTCAGATTCGATTCTTTGGCACTTTCTGATGTAGACGCTGGCAAGTATCTCCCAAACAGACTGGCTTTATCCTTTAGCATAGAGTTGCAGAGTAGAAACTGCTTAGAAAAGGTGCCTGTAAGTACTTTGTGCGGCCATTTCTTCTGTTATGTAATTGTCTGTGTCCCCTCCCGGTTTGAAATGCTAAAACCACCCTCTCAAGAACACAAAGATTCTCGACTGTCAGACATCCCCAGGGAACCCACATTTAAAACCAGCTCAAAATGCTGCAACCTCTGGACCTGTGGGAGCCAGGGTGCCCTCCTCAGGACAGCCTGGCAAGGGCACCTTCCTTGCCAGTTGGGGACAGGTTGCCTACTTTGGGGCCCAGGGTGCTTTGCCAGGAGAGCAGCAGATGATTATTTGGGCCCTGAAAACTCTGCTCAGAAAGGTTTTGACAAGTGAAAGCATTCCTATTCCATTAGAGAACTTGTTAGCCAATTACAGGTCAAGAACTGGGAAGTTCCTGCTGGCTTCCTTTCTTCCTTGCTGAATCCAGGTGTAACACTTACCGTGGTTAGCTTATGAGATGTTAGTGACTCCTCCAGCTGCCCTGCTGTAGGCTGGTATGAGGTGACCTTGGCCTAAAGGCCTGAAATAAAGCAGTGTCTATTTTCTTCACCCTGGAAGCTCTCATAGCCACCGCCTTTTTTTTTTTTTTTTTAATTTGTGGTACTTACTTTTATTATTATTATTATTATATTATTATTTAAAGATTTTATTTATTTATTTGATAGAGACAGAGAAACATCAGGAGAGGGAAAATAAGCAGGGGGAGTGGGAGAGGGAGAAGCAGGTTTCCGCTGAGCAGGGAGCCCGATGTGGGGCTCAATCCCAGGACCCTGGGATCATGACCTGAACTGAAGGCAGATGCTTAACAACTAGCCACCCAGGCGCCCCCCTCATAGCCTTCTGACGTGCCTTCCTGATTTCCCATGCCTGCATGATCTATTCTCCACATACTGCCAGAGTGTTCTTTTCTTAAAAGGGAAATTAGAGCAGATTATACCCCTGCTCAGAATCCTCCAGAGCCTTCATAGCACGATGGCAGTAAAATCTGAAATCCTTAAGAAGCTCTCAAAAACTCTCCATTGCTCGTCTCCTTCACACTTTGGGATGCCTTCCTGATGTCCCTGAAACACCCCAGCTTGTTCCCATCGTGGAGGCTTGGTCCCCTCTGCTTGGAGTACTCTCTCCCCAGATCTTCTGTTTCTTGATTCCCTGTTTCCCTCAGACTTTTATTCTGATTTGACCTTCTCGCAGAGGGCTGTCCTGACCACACTGTCTAAAAATTGCCTTCCTTTTGTCACTCTGTCCCACAGCCTGCTTTGATTTTCTTTATAGCATTTATCGGTCCTGAAAATAACATCACTTATTGCCTTGTCTGTTTTCTCTTCCTCCGTGAGGATAGGGATCTCCCCTGTCATGGTCACCAGTGCCTGACTGGCCAGAGCATGGGCTCTGGGGCCAGCCTGCCTATGTTCACATCCTGCCTCAGGCTTCTGACTTGGAACTTGAGGCAGATACTTAACCTCTCAGTGCCTGATATAAAATGCAGATGAGACTAGGCCCAACCTCATGGGTTATGATGAGCAGCAAGTAAATTAACACATGTGAAGCCCTAGAAGGATGCTGGCACATAGTAAATACTTGCTGTTATTATCATCAGGAGTATCTAGAAAAGCCCCCTCTATGGTGGACTCTCATAATCCTCTGTGGGCCAAAGGAGTGTGTGAAGATATATTTGGCCCCTGAGATCATACATCTCAGGCAGGGGGTCTGAGCCACCAAATCGTGATATCTTGCTGGCTACCCATTGTTATGCCCCAATAATGGGTCCGTGATTAAAGGAGCGAGACTGATACAAAGCGAAGGTCAAGCAAAGCTTTATTTCGCACCAGGCATCAAGAATCAGACCGAACGTTCGGGGACGCACCTCTTACAAGAGAGGGCGACTCTTCTCTGTTTCACAGAGTAGCTTTTAAGGGCAAAGGCCACGCGGTCGGGCCTGGCCATGCACAGGTAACCAATGAGATTGTGACACACACAGGAAACTCCACAGTGATGCTAGGTGACCAACTGAATTACAATTGACCCTAGTAGACATTTGAACCAGCCTATTACACCTTGATTAGGATTGGCGCCAAAAAGGCTCCCAAAGGCAGGGTGGGGCCCTACTCCTTGGTAACCAGGGAGACAGTATGCAACCCCCCCCCCCCCCACCACTGATCGGATGTCTCCACCTGGCCTGACCCACCCTTGTATCTGGGCTTTGTTACCTGGAGCTGGTTTCCGGGACTTGTTTTTAAGTAAATCCCCTGAGGGAAGGAGAGCAGGGACAGTTTAATAAAAGCCTCTTGCTAAATAGGTCCTTACACCCAGAACCTCTCCTCAAAGAGAATGAATCATGAGGGGAAAGTGGAAACCTGAGGGGGCCCTTAGCCTCTAATCTAACGAGACATAACTGGTATGAGCTCTAATACCCTTCCTATCAGATCCCTCTTCCTCTTGCACACTTGGACGCAAAGACCATCCACTCAGATGCACATCAATCTCAGCATCACTTTTGCGAGGATGACAAAGCCCCTAGACATCTTTGCAGCTGTTGGATATGTACGTGTGTAAAGGCAATGCTCAAAGTGGAACCCTCCACCCGACTTGTCCTCTTCCGACACTGTTTACCTCTTCCCTGCTGTCTAGGCTGTCTTGAAAGTGGATCTGGCTCTCTTTGGACATGTCTTCAGTCCCTTCCATCAGCTGTGCTGCTAATAATGCAACTGCACACGGTTAAGAATGTGAGTTTTTAAAGAAGTCTCTGAGCAAAGATTTTCTTCTGGTTTTTCAAGGTAGAGAAACCAAGGTATAAGCTGGATCCTTATCCATGGCCACATGGCCAGACCATAGCTTAGAGCAAACTCAGAAGTTCAAAGACATGCACTCCTGAGTCAGTAGAAATGGAAGGATAAAGATATTCTTAAGTCATTCCCCAATTTTGTACCCAAGATAGGTCAGGATCAGATAAACCCAGCGCAGCCTCTCCTCAGAGGCCCTTCTTCCTTCGTGTCCTTACTACAACGCTGAGAGATTTCAGCTTCATTGTGGCAACCCAGGGTTGCCAGGGTTCAGCCAGAACCCAGAGTTCTGCTTAGCATTAGTATTTTCCATTCTCCTTTCACACCCTCCTAAGGATTATTCTGATTTCAAGAAGTAGCATGGCAGATCATTTTTCCTCCATTATGAGCAAGTCAGACTCCTTTTGCTCACTCTCTATAATTATGGCCCACTCAGTAGAAGCCTGGCATACACTTGTTCTTTCTTTGACATTCTTAGACCAACTCTTCCCTGAAAATTATAATCCAGTCTGTCAGTCTCTAACTTCTTCCCAGGGACAAACATCCTCTCATATCCTATAACCAGCAGAGACATCCTTCCCCCTTTCTTTAAATTCCTATTATGTCCATATAAAATGGTTCTGTAAAGATAGATTGACCCTGCGCGCCTGGGTGGCTCAGTGGGTTAAGCTTCTGCTTTCGGCTCAGGTCATGATCCCAGCATCCTGGGATCA